TCTAGGTCAGCTGCTACTCCTGCTCCTGCTGTAGCCAGCTCTAATAGGAATGGATTTGCCTTGGTATCCTAAAACTTAAACCTGGGAGATTGCTACCGAGAGCCTGCACCACAAATTGGCATCAGAAACAGGCTCTTTTATAAATAGCATTGCATATTTTAAGAGGAGGTATAACTTATAGAGTAAAATGTTAGTTCAGCCTTCTACCACCAGACATTTTAACATGTTAATTTAACATAAACTGAGCCTTGATCTCTGATTTCATTACCAAGAGGTGACTTTTCTCTTGTGTAAAGGCACTTACCTCTTTTGTATAAATGAGTCATCTTTCTTGATTCATCAAGAGAATTTTATATGTAAGGATAGTTATTTTACCTTTCACTTGGCAGTTGGGTCAGCTTAGTGATACCTTAGTAATTATTAAAAGTAAGAATTGGAAACTGTTGTGTGATTAGATTCAAGTTGAAATCAAAACTTTACCCCCATGTATTATTTATGGCTTGTGGCTTTCTGTTCTTTCCCAAAACCCCATTGGAGATCAGAGAAGTGAGCATGGCATTCACATACTCTCTTCCTAACGCTGGCCAATCCTGGCAATAGCCTGTAAGCCATGAAGGCTAGGTACCTTCCATTCAGACATCAGTAGTTGCTTTTATGTGGCCCCTCTTTTGACAACCAGTCTTACTGCACGTTGGTTTGTTTAGTCTTAAATAGAACTTCAGATAAAAGAAAAAGCAATTTGTGTAGTAAGGTGTGAATTGACAGCCACTTCCATCGGAAAAACAAACATAGCAGGACTGAATTTGGTTAAGCACATTATAGAATGGGAACCTAAAACTTCAGTGAAAATCATTTATCATACCCAGATATACCCACGGAGCTCTGCTGGTGTTGGAGATGGAATTCGGCAAAGGCTCCAAGCACCTTAGTTACACCACTTAGAATTACATTAAGCCAGTTGAGACACGATGAAAGAATGCAAGGCTTAAACCCCTTGAGGGCCTGTAAGTCACCATCTAGAAAGGTTCCTGAAAGGGTAAGAGCATTTTATAGTTTGATCAATAGGAGCCCAAGAAGTAGGCTGCAGGGTAAGGACAAGTTGAGGATTAAAAACTTTTAGAAACTTGAAGAATTGAATAACTATCCTAAAGAAAGTTCCCATGAGAGAAAAGAGATGGAAAGAAAAAGAGATTTTTCTTCATTTCTCAGCCATTCTTCTGGGTCAGAATTCAGCCCAATATTAGATGATAACTAGCTCTTATTATCCAAGATGTAGTAACTGTTCCACCCACACACAGAATTTCCTAGCAACACAACCTCCTGATCAGTAGATTTGGATTCATACCAAGAGAAAGCAAAGGATGGGACTGAAGGCTTCAAAATGAGATCAACTTTCCCATCAAAACGAGATCACCCTTCTTGGCAGTTGATCCATTTTCTAGCCAGAATAAACTTTTACTTTGGAATCTATCTGAACTAGTACAGTAGTTGGCTTTGCCTCTCAGGCTACCATTGCATTACTATCAGTTAATGAACTGTTGAAGTAATGTTTGTATGAATTAAGGTTATGTCTATAAAGGAGTCAGTCAAGTTAAATGTTATTGCAACTGTCAAAAATTCAAAAGTTTGAGCAAAGGATCCTGGCTAAGAATTTCTGAACAGAAAATATTATATATAAATATAAAACCTATATAAACATAATGTGAAGCATATAAAAATACAAAGTAGAAGATTACTATATGACATGATCACATTAGAACTCAGATTTTTTTCTTTTTAATTGTTTTTATTGAGCTATGTATTTTTCTCCTCTCTCCTCCCTTCTTCCCCATCCCCTTCTACCCTCTACCATGATCCCCATGCTCCCAATTTACTCAGGAGATCTTATATTTTTCTACTTCCCATGTAGATTAGACCCATGTATATTTCTCTTAGGGTCCTCTTTGTTGTTTATGTTCTCTGGGATTGTGTTTTTCTTTGCTTTATGTCTAAAAACCACTTATGAGTAAGTAAATATTATATTTATCTTTCTGGGTCTGGGTTACCTCACTCAATATGAGGGTCTCTAGATCCATCCTTTTTTTTTTTTTTTTTTCTTTTTTTTTTAAAAAAAAGGTTTTTGGTGGGGGGGGGTGATATCTGAGTCTTTGAATTGATTCCATTGGTCCTCTTGTCTGTTTTTATGCCAATACCAGGCTATTTTCAGTACTATAGCTCTGTAGTAGAGTTTGAAGTCAGGGATTGTTTTGGCTATCCTAGGTTTTTTGTTTTTCCATATGAAGTTGACTGTTGTTCTCTCGAGGTCTGTGAAAAATTTTGCTGGTCATCACATTGAATCTGTAGATTGCTTTTGGTAACATTTCACTTTTACTATGTTAATTCTACCTACCCAAGACCATTGGAAATCTTTCCATGTTTTGGTATCCTCTTCAATTTCTTTCTCCAAAAACTTAAAGTTCTTGTCATTTAGGTCTTCCACTTGTTTGGTTAGAGTTACTCCAAGAAATTTTATGCTATTTGTTGCTATTGTGAAGGGTGATGTTTCTCTGATTTCTTCCTCAGCCCGTTTATTATCTGTGTGAAGGAGGACTACTGATTTTTTTTCGAGTTAATCTTGTATCCTGCTACATTACTGATGGTGTTTATGAGTTGTAGAAGTTCTTTTGTCGAATTTTGGGGTCACTTATGTAAACTAACGTATTATTAGCAAATGGTGAGAATTTGACTTCTTTTCTGATTTGTATCCCCTTGAGCTCCTTTAGTTGTCTGATTGTTCTAGCTAGAACCTCAAGAACTCTATTGAATACATATGGAGAGAGTGGACAACCTTGTCTTGTTCCTGATTTCAGTGGGATCGCTGTGAGTTTCTCTCCATTTAGTTTGATGGTTGCTGTCAGCTTGCTATATATTGCTTTTATCGTGTTTAAGTATGTTCCTTATATCCCTGCTCTCTCCAAGACCTTTTCAGAGAAACATTACCCTTCACAGTAACCACAAATAACTGGAGTTAATAGGCTTTTTTCCCCCACACAAGTGAAATGGGGACTTGAAGGACACAAGCTTTGGGGCTGCGGAGTTGGCCCCATGGGGAAAGGCTTGGTGGGCAAGTATGAACATCTGAGCGTAGAATAGCCGTGAACCCACATAAGAGCCAAGTGTGGTGGTGCACCACAGAACCCCAGCACAGAGAGACAGAGACAAGTGGACCTGGGAGTTTGTTAGCTAGTCAGCCTGCAGACCTGCAAGGGCAGTCTTTAGGTTCAGTGAGAGACCTGGGTCAAAGAATAAAGCGGGGAAACAATGAAGGGAGACATCCGGCCTCAAACTCTGTTTATTACCACACGCAGGTAAGCTTATCCACATGGATACACTACCACCACCAAGGCCAACACACACACACACACACAAACACACATACGTGGTATGGGGCTTTGGGGGGTCAAACTAAAACAAACAAAACCAAACACCAGAAAACCTAAGTTCAGTTAAAGGTATATTCTGAGTCTGGCGAAAAGATAACTTTCACATCCTCCCTTCCTAGCCGGCTCTCTTAGGTCTTAGATAGTTTATCTCCTGAAACATGTTTCTGTAGGGGAGGAAGTGAAGTGAGCTAGCCTTTCTGTCCAGGAATACTCCTTTGTAAAGGCTGATTTTAGGCTTAGCAAAGACACCTTCAATGGAGGCAGTCAGTTATCTGTGAAGCTGGGGTGATGGGCTTTGAAATCGACAAAGGCAGACAGACTTAGCTTTTCTCCAGAAGGAAAGGGGCTTTCTGCTCTTGGAGCTTCCATTCCCATTAATGTGGAGTTGTCCTTTAAAATGGAAAAAAAGGAGAGAGAGAGAGAGAGAGAGAGAGAGAGAGAGAGAGAGAGAGAGAGAGGTGAAAGCCCACAAAACGACCTCCTATTCTTTGCCCCAGGCTGTGTTCTTGTGTAAGCAGCCTGCTCCAGCAGGGCAGGTGTCCTGATAGAAGCTTTCCCTGTGAACTGTGGCCCTGTGGCTTCTCCCAGCCTTTTAAGGAAAAATCCTGCAGAGCCCCCATCCTGGCTGCCTTTGCTCTCCTTCTGTCTTCTTTGGTTGCATCTTTTATTTTTTTTTTTTTTCTCAGTTCCTTTCTTAGAGTTTATTTCAGATGGGAAAAGTCCTGGCCTGGGCTCCCAATGGTGAGGGATTTTGACTGTGTCTGGAGACGTTAGAACGCGGTCAGATGCTGCTGGATGTGGGGAAATGGAGTAGAAAGACACCTACCAGTTTTCCATCTGCATTATGTCAATACACGCTCTTACTCTGACGTCCTTTGGGCCCTCAACCAGGTTACTCACCTGAACGTCTCCAGACTCAGCGAGTGTGAATCAGTTTTAGGAACCAAACTATAGTTAAAAAAAAAAAAGATGGTGTGTCTGTTTATAAATATGTGAAGTAAAAATGAAATAGTGTTGGAGCTAAATCCTGACTGAGGTGATTAAAAAAAAAGGTTTCTATCTGTAAACCAAAGTATAATGTATCTAAAATAAAAAGTGAGTATTATTAGCAGTTAATGGGAATTTTCTCTTGTGGAATGCTTGCTGGGCTAAGTTTGCAAGTTGCAGGAACTAGTCTACCCAATACCATTTAACAGTGTGTTTAGATCTTCAAATCAGATGTGTCGAAAGAAAGACTTGCCACTCAGGATCGTGCATATAAATGTGGTTCAGTCCTTGTTTTAAAGGAGTTTTACGAGGCTAGATTGACACTGCTTAATAAACAATTGACAGAGTTAAGCATAACCCGCGAGAGTCATTTAGAAGGATGAGTCACGGTCCGGACAGGCCAATAAGGTAAGAGGAACCCAGGTTGCAAAACAATTAACCAGCCCAGCCCGCGGGACCCTGGAAATATATTACAGGTATCAGTTAAGAAAACAAAGCGGTAGTGTTCGGCCACTCTGCAGAGGACAAGCTAAGGCTGCTAACCAAACCAAACGACCGCACTGACCATGCCAATTTTTACATTTGTTTCAGAACAAGGACCATTCAAACCACCAGAGGTAAGACTGCCATTTAAACTCTTTTTGTAAGCTTTGCGTTTCAAGGGGTTTGCTAACTTAAACAGGCGTGAGCTCTTACGGTGTTAAATGTGCCTTTTCTGACTGAGTGGAACAGAAACGGAGGGAGCTGCCAGGTGCTTGCCAAAACATGAACCGGGATCAGGAATTTTCACAGTTGTTGTCTGGAAGCCTTCGGTTGAGGAGCAAGGTGGATATTTTACGGTAATAGTGAATGAAGTCGGGGCTGTCAGAACGATGGCAGACCCAGCGCCCTCTGTGAACTATTGTTTTAATGCCCTGCAGTAACCTGCCTGAATTCTGCCATAGTTCCGAGTGTATGGGTTCAGGTTCCTAGCAGTTTCCTCTTCAGCACAAACGTGGTCACTGTTGTGCCCCACTCATCAAATCAAGCTCTGTTTACATTTCCCTTTGGTTTAGCACAGTCTAACTTCCAGGGGTGCTCTTGAGGATAGCTCTCATTATAAAGTCACTGCAGAAATGGAAGAGAATGCAGCCTATGGCAGATTCTGCACTGCCATTATTTTGACCGTCCATCAAAAGTAACAAAAATTTACCTGACTCTGCAAAAGTACCATAGCAAAAATTTAAGTTAAAAATTAGCAGAGGAAATGAAATATAAAGTGAGTGTGAATGAGTAAAAACTAAGGTTACCCGAGACTTTCAAAATGAAAGGATCGCAGTCTATTTACTAAGCTGATTAGCACATTGTCCTCATAGGTCTCCGGTGTCAGCACTAGAAAGTATAGTAGAATAAAAATCACCTCCAGGCCAATAAGGCAGCTGCATTATTAGTGTGCTTTTACCAGCTAGTTCTTATACACTTGGTGAAAATATGGCAAGCGCTGGGAAATGCCCTCAGAGGTCCCTTCTCTTGCCTTTTGCCTACGCGCCTAACGTCTGCATGCAGGGTGACAAGGGTGTGGTAGGAGGAACCTCGTGGTAGATGCAGCTGCTCACTGTACTAGTTAGGTGGGTGTTAGGACCTAGAGTTTAGACCAAGTAACATATATAACACAGCACCAATGCTTTCTGAAAATAATGGAACATCATGACTCATTGCAGGCTAGTGCCAGTTACCCCGAAATTTCTGTTACTCATTCTGAGACAGGGAGGGTTTTTTTTTTTTTTTTCAAATCAGGGGTGCCAGGATCCTTCTTGCACCGCATGGTCTTTCTGAGCACTCTGGTCTTAGATTATGGAGAAACATAGCATTGTGGAGTCTGAAGCTTCAGCTCAAGGTTACTTCACATTTATCCTATTAGACATGTGTATTCTTTTTTATTCCTAAGAAAATGATTTCATTTGGTTTCAAGGAAGTAACGTGAAGTGGGTGTATTTGCAGAGGGAGAATGTGCTAATAAGAAGTGGTTAATCATTCTCACATGATATTAAATAATTCTCTCAGACACGTTTATACCCTTAAAATTACATGTGAGCCTATTAATAAAAAGGAATTAATCTTCGTGTTGAAAATTAAAAAAAAACATAGCCTCGGCGTTGTAGTGATTTTCTTAACTTTTGAATGTAATAGTGCAATTTTCATTTAACGTGTAACTTCACTAATAACTTCCCCTTTGTCTAGAGAGATGATAGTATGCTGTGAGGCTAGCCAATTCACTTCGAAACTGCTCCCTTTTAGGAAAAGTGTAACAAAGAATATTAAGAATGTGGTTTTTTATTTTGTTTCTTTTCCTGCATACCCCCTGCCTCTCCTATACTGGCTTAGCATTCTCTTCTGTTTACCCTTTGGTGCTACACATTGTATTATCCTGGAGTTTTGTTTTAAAACTTGACTTCATTGTCAAGGCAGGCCAGTCTTTTCCACAGCCACAGGACCATAGGCTTGCGTAGCTGTCCAGCCGTAGTCACCCCACTCGCAGCCTAGGTCATCACAGGTCCTTCTGACTACACAAAGCAAGCTTCTTCTTATATGTCTACCCATTTTTACACATTGCATCAATCCCCCTTGTACACGAACCAAAGCTAACTTCCATACAAGAAATGAAATGTTCCCTTATGTTGTTGGTAAAAATCCACAGAGGGAATCATTTTCCCCCACATAGGCAAGAAGACCAGGAGGGTTTTAGACAATAAAAGTATTTTTCAAAATAAAAAGACAAGACAGTGAAGCAAGAAATAATTACCAAGTGCCTATAAAATGAGGTTTGCCTCCTCAACCCCTCTGGGTAGATCAAAGGAGATTATGACTCCAGAGACATGACTCTCAAGTATCCTGGACCTCTGACTTAAGAGTTTCCAGGCAAGGCAACCATATATGCCCTTTCTTTACCACCTTCTACCCGCAGACCCGGTCTGTCCAGCCCTGTCTGGCTGAGAAAATAGGTGTGAGAGAGAATTGCATTAGAGTAGGGGACATTGCACTCTACATTTCAGAAAGGTTTCAAAAGATCTTTCAATTTTTGTGGTAGAAGATGCTTCTAAGGTGCTGTCCGAGTTAATCACAGATTTTCCAGATGTGCTTTGTTTTACTGCCTGCTTTTCCTGCAGAAAAGCTTCTGTTTTGAGGAGGGTGACTAACTTAAATGACTTTCCTGGAGGAAAAACATCAAAACAGTTGGTAGGGCAAGTGGGGTGCAGTCATGTATGCGTGCAGTCTCTGCTCCTGGGGAGGATGGGGCAAGAGGGTCTCGTGCATGTTTGGTTTAAGAGCAGCTTCAGCAATTTAGTGAGATCTTGGTTCAAAAGCCACAACACGGGGTAGAAGCTGTAGTTTCCCAGAACATACCCTGTGTGTGAGTTGAAGCTTTCATGACTCCACAAAGTTAATAACATTAGTCATTGGAAACCCTTGATGATTCCAAACACTTAAAACGAATGAACCCTCACCACCACCCTAACCAAGTAAGTGTTAGTATAGTTTTTCCTGAAAGATGGGAAAACACAAGCAGACATGCTTTGACTTTGAAGTTAATCACCTTTTCTATATTATTACTAACCACATTGTGTCACCTCCTTAATCTTAAACTGAAGTCAAAACAGGCAAAGACGATTTTTGTTGTCAGTTAGGAAGGTGACGGTGTTGGGAGGAGGCAAACACTGGCATTATAGACCTCATTGGATATTTTTCTGTTGAATACATTGTAAGTTGTGTTCCTTGGTGCCCTTTCAATAGAAAACTCAAAAATTTTAAATAAAGATTTAGGTAAAGAAGAGTTTGTCTTTGACATCAGTTTTCCCAAATTTTCAGAAGTGGGTCTGTAACTCTTGTGCCTTCCCTTTTATGACTGGCCACCAAGTAGCCCAGGGCAACAATTTCTCTCACAGTGTTCGCTTCTAATGGTTTTCCTAGAATAGATACCCTGCCTGCTCAACAAAGATCCCATGCAGAGTTTAATGATCCTATTAGTCTTCTACAAATACATTTGGAAAGTAGTTGGGGTGAAAACAAAAATTACATGTTTAAAATTTGTTTTATTTGCTTTATCTAAGAACCCTAGAGTCTTCAGGATGTGGCTTTGAGCCCCTGGAGAAGGTGAACAGACCCCATTTCAACATTTCGGTGATTTGACTTATGAATGAAATCAACGTGAGAAGCTCCCCTGAGAAAATCCACAACTTATTTGTGCTTCTTAAAGTGAAGGATCTTTCGACTGAAACCATGGGCCTGTACACACAATGACAAATTCCAATACATATAAAAAGAAAATTCCTCATGAAAATCTCCATACAGTGGTCCTGCATGTAGTGGTCTTCATGCAGATTCACATTTGTTTGTAACAAAAAGTAAAAAAAAAAAAATCAATCCTTCATTAGTGAAATTACTGTACTAATTATAGCAAAGAATTCGATGCTAGTAAAATCAAATAGTAACCACGCATTTTTCGATTTAAAAATCCCTTGTCTTGCTTTCATAGTGCGCAGTTTTCCTTAGGAATACCTTTTCTATAATAATCGATTTTGTACTTCATGAGCTGCATGTACTTTTTTAAGTATCAAGATACAACTCATCTGTAATTAAGACACATTTATTATTTAAGCATTTCTGGAGCCAGGGCTTTGGGTCTTTGGTTTGGGACTGTATGGCTGCTTCAGTCACTTGTCTGTCACGGCCCAGAACTACCTGACTTAGAGTTTGTACGGATCTGCTTAAGACTGTGCTATTCACATTTCTTCATTGGGAGTATTTTCTAACCAAAAATGGGTCTGTGGTGTTAGTCTTCCTAGTTTCTATGATTTTAAGAAATATTGGGTCAGGATGCATAAATTAGGCAAACGAAGGTGTTTCTGTTTGTGACAATGACTTAAAACGTCATGATATTCTCATTGAAAACTTATCAGAGAAATTAAATTAAATTATTAATACAAGCATTAAAACCACATTTTGATCACATTTAGCTATGTTTTTAATTGAATCTAAGGCGACACGATGGCCAGAGCATCAGAGTTATAATGATCATGTGCCGTATACCAACATGTCTTTGTGTCGCTTCCATACAGAAAAGGACCAATGGACTCCGGCGAGCTCCCAGACAGGTGGACCCAGGTATGTATCATATCCTACGATAACTCCAGTTAAGTGATTATGAACATATATGGAAATTTCTCGGGGAGTCGGCTGCATGGAGGGTCTCGTTCCCACAGTTTGGTCTATGCCTTGTGACCAGGAGGTGAAGGTCTAACTTGCAAATCGTTCCTGGGTGACTAACCGCCAGCCCTTTCCACAGTCAGCAGGTGAGCTGGCTCCTTGCTTGCTGAACAGCCCCAGGGTGCCTGCATAATGCTAACATACCCAGCACCCTCCCCATTCTCCTCCTAAATCAGGTAAGAAAACCAAGCAGCTCAGTGCCACTTAAAAATAGAGGGCAAGGGAGAGCATGCAACTGCCATTTCCCCGCTTGGGGAAGTTTTCTTATTCTCTACCTGTATGGTTTTATAATCAGGAATGTGGTTGTCAGGACAGTGAACAAGTGGCCTCTGGAGACCGCTGACTCAGGTGCAGAAAACAGTATTTTTTTCCTATCATTGTAGTTTGCCCCTATCATTATCTTAGTATAATTTTTTTTTATCCGTTAAGAAATGCCTTCCACAGTTTAATCACTGACCCTTTTGTTCTGTGCATGATCCTAAGATCAAGGTATTCACAGATAAAGCATCCAAATATATGAATTTGACTCAAGCCCCATCAAGTGGGCTGTGAAGTGCAGAACCGTTGCCTTGCTGGGAAATAATCTGGATTTCTGTTTGGCTCTGTGTTCTCAGCAGCAGCACTGTTCACCGAGCTGTAAAGCTGCTTTTTCAAAGACTAACATCTTTTAACCGAAGCCACACCCAGGCTGGCCCTGCTGGTTTATGAGATGGCAGAGATTATGGAAGCCCTGTTGCCTCTGGCTAGAAATTGCCTCATTTACATCTGGAGATCTGTTTAACTCTTTTAACTACAGAGCAAAGTTGATGTCATTTAAAAACACAGGGTTCTGCTTTCCTTTTTAATAGTTCTGACTTTCTGGAGCCAAGATCCTTCCCAGGGGTCTGTGTGGTACCATTTAGAAGAGCCTTCACTAGTTGTATTTATTTAGTAGGACGGTATGGGTGTATACGCCATGTGGTTTGTTTGTTTGTCTGTATGAGTTGTATTTCTAGTTCAGGAAATAATCTGGCCTTTAAAAGTGTTATTTTGAAATTTCTTTTTCACCTCTGTGCATTTTTATTTAGTCTGTTTCCTCCAAGAGAAATGCATTTATTTATAGTGTTGGAAGATGCACATTTAACTCTTTGCAATTTACTTCACAACCAGTTTTCGGCAATCTCTTAAAGGAAAATATAGTGAGTTTTCAGATTCTAAATGCAGCCAAGTAGATCGGTAACAAAATAAATTCATACCACTCTATCCTACAGCGCTTTATGAAGAATAAATTTACAAATATACAAGAAGTACTTCTGTAGATTTTAGAATATTTTCCTGTAGCTATGATACGTGCATGTGAGTATATTTCTTGTTCTTCACATTTTTATGAAGAAGCAGATAGATGATGATCTTGTGTTTGGAGTTGCAGCGAGGTTTTACACTTCCTCCCTTAGTCACTCCTGGACTTAGGCCTAAGGTCCTTGTCCGTCTTGATTGCTTTTGTATCTCTGCCTCATTCTGCTGACCCTCTGTGCTCATTTGCTCAGAATGAGCCCGGCTTTGACAACTGCCTTGTCATCAATGGGTGTAACTGTCATTCAACAGATTTTCACAATTCTTGGGAGATGTTTCTCCAAGACATTTAAAGAGATATCCATGCAACTGAGGCAGAACGAACACAGAGCTTCCTAGGAGGATTGGTTGCCATTTGTATTTTATTTTGCTGTGAAGGTGTCTTCGACTACCCTATCCCCATTTCTAACTAATCTAATTAACTTCTCCAAGTTCTAATATGCTGATTGCTTTCAAGAATCCCATAAAAAGTGTATTGTAGAAAAACAAACTATTTGTGGGTACCAAGTGTACGTACTTCATCAGGATCAGATTTCAGAGCCACGTACAAAACTATGGACCTTTTGTATTGGAAAAGTCTTTAATACATAGTTCTGTGGACAGAAGACCTAATTAATGTTCATTACACAAACTGATGGATGACTGTGTATTTTTCCTTAGGTGTTGATTCTCTTGCTTTTTATTTTATCTATTTTTTTAAACATTTTGGATGCAATATAATGACATCATTTTCCTCTCATCCCTTTCCTTCCTCCAATCTCTCCCAAGTCTCCCCACTTCAACTCCTTCTTCTATACACCCCAAATGATAGCGTCTTCTTCCTAATCATTATTGTTACACTATTGTTATAATTATTATTGTTAAACAAGAGTCAGTTTTTGTGCTTTGTGTGCATATGGTTTCAGGGCTGATCACTTTCTGTTGGACAACCAATTAGGGGGCTCATCCCTGGGAGAGGCTAACTCCCCCTCTCTCAGCAGTCATACGTTACCTATAGTTCCTTATCAAGGAGGTGATCTCATAAGTTCTCCCCACTTCTTACTTAGTATTTCTGTTGATATCGCCGCTGTTTAGATCTCGATTATGCAGCTATTTCTACAAGAGACTGATTCCCAATAAACATCCTGCTGTAATGGCTTCTGATCTTTGTGCCCCATCTTTTAAGCTGGTTCCTGAGCTGTAGAGGCATGAGCTGCGACACAATGTATCCACTGGGACTGGGTTCCCATTATCCATTGATGTCTGCATTGTGTCCAGTTGTGGTGTTATGTGATGGTCTCTGTTTGCTGCAAAAAGCAGCTTCTTGGACAAAAGCTGTTAGCTACACTTAACTGTGGGTGTGAGGATAAGATTTACAATGTAGTTAGGAATTATTCTGGCCTCACAAAGGAGCTCTAGTAGATTCTATTCTAAGATCCATGCCCTCACTAGCCTCAGGAAGTTAGCTAAGTTTCTAGCACTAAGCATGGTGTTCCTCCTGTTAGTGGGCTGTAATTCCAACTAGACAGCAGTTGGCTACCACCACCATGTGAGTACCATGTATTTCATCTTTATGGAGATCTCTCCTTGCTAGTTCCTGTTGTGGTTTCATCGGCTGTTGTGGTTTCATGGATATGATAGCTGGGTGGGACGATCAATTGCTTCTCTCCTTTGGCATCTTCCAAGTATTTTCTGGTAGCTTGGAAGCTAGGCCACAGGAAGGAGGTTTTCAAGTTACATCCAGCTTAAACAGTCTGAGTCCTGTGCTCTTAGTGTGCCCTGTTTTCAGCAATAGGGTTTACCTTCAAGTTCTGAGAGGCAACCAAGCTTTTGTTTTGGGAGTCATGTTGCCTAACCATTCTAAAGGAGATTTTTCGTGCTTGGTACTGGGTTTTTGTTAATCTGGAGTTCTTGTTGGGGAATGTTGTTAATCCTAGTGTCGTAGCTTCCTTTAAGATGTGTGTGTGCGTGCGTGTGTGTGTGTGTGTGTGTGTGTGTGTATACTTATACGTGCTATCTATGAAGTATACAAATCATTGAGGCTTTATCAAGCAAACTTGGTGGCATTTGTCTCTTTTCCCTCCTCTTTCTGTATTGACCTTCCTCTCACTTTTCCACTTGGATCCCCCTCCCTACTTTCCCTTTTTCCAAGTCATGTCACCTGTATCCTGTCTCTTACTGTCTGAATTCTATCTGTGGACACAGTACATAGCATGTCACAGTCTCATGTTGGGAAGTGTGGCTCTGAAGCATGTTCCAGTTTTAGACTAGACTTAGCTCCTCACTTGCTATCCCACCCTTTTCTGTTTGCTTCCCTCTTGCGTTGTGGTTTTCATATTTATGATAGAAGTCTGGTACTAGTACCTGCCTCACAGGCATTGTGAGTATGGTGTGAGGTAGCAGATTAAACAGTCCTTTTTTGGTTTTTGTGTTTCAAGACAGGGTTTCTCCGTGTAGCTTTGGAGCCTGTCCTGGAACTCGCTCTGTAGACCAGGCTGGCCTCCGACTTACAGAGAGAGATCTTTCTGCCTCTGCCTCCCAAGTGCTGGGATTCAAGACATGTACCACTACAGACTGGCTAAACAGTACTTTTGAATGTGCTTAGCAAATTGTAAATGCTCACTGGTAGCAATAATTATGCTGATTAATTTCTTCTATGGCAAGATATTTAATATTGGACACTTTGCCAAGTGGAGAATCAATAGTTGCAAGTTAAATCTTTGAAAACAGATGAAATTTTATGTTGAATACTGGGACAGCCAGAGCTACATAGTGAGACCCCATTTTGAAAAATTAAACAAGCAAAAGTTGTATAATTGTAGTAATTTTCATATTTCCCTTTATTTCCTGTTTGTTAAACAACTTTTATAGTCTTTTGATTATCTTTACTAAAAGATACAACAAAGAGGGATGGTGGAGAGTGATTTGTTTTGGATATAATTGTTAGAGGTTTTGACTTCAATAAAGGGAATGAAAGCTCTAATTGAAAAATGTTTTGTGGGTCTTTTTTTCTTTTGTGGATTTCTAGCACAACCCCCAAAACATGAGTGCTGTGGCTTGTCCGGACACTTAGAACATTCTACTAGTTACCGTACCTAATGTTTAGGTACCATGTTCACGATGGTTTCACTCCGTTTCCTTGTTCTGTACTGGGCTAAGAATTTTTTAAATCACTTTTTAATACTAATTGCTTTTATAAATATAATATTATGTCAGATGCAAATCCTGGTAGCTCATTTGAATCACTTATATATAGCAAGGTGTTCTCATCAGTTTGTACCTCTCTTCCTGAGACAGATGTTGGTATCAGGGACAACAACACTTGTAACAGACAGATCAATTATTTCAGGAACACGGAGGTGCTGGGCCTTTTTCAAGGACATGAGATCATAAGTCTCAAGTAAATCCCAGCACTGCTGCAATATTTGACACCTCAAGTGGCACTCAAGGTCAAAGTTGCCAATTAAATTTTAATACTAAGATTTAAAAATTTCCTTCTATCTAAATATTGCAGACTTAAGATTGATTTCTGTTTGCATGCAGTATATCTGGGTCCTCTTTTCATCAAGTACTTATTCTTGGACTTT